ATTTATTGCTCAGATCTGATTTTATTTATTTATTTATTTTCTGTTTGGTTGTTCATGTTATATATTAAATGTATCATATCAGAGTCCAGTGTGTGAACAGGTCACGGTCCTGACGTTAAAGTCACATGTATTCTGATACGACTGTTCACACTGAGGTCATATTGATGTGTAACTGAGTATGTTTTTTACAGTGTGGTATCAAGCTGTACTTTTGAATACCTCTCGCAGTACTGATGACAAGCAGTGGTGGAAGAAGAACCTATTGTAAGTTAGACTCCAGGAATGAATATTTATTCAAATAAAAGCTTAATTATAATCAGTAAAATGTACTCAAAGTAAGTTAAAGTACTTTGTGCAGAAGAATGACCTTTGTGAGTTTCTACTGATACACATTGTAATAGATTATATTACTGATACATTAATATATAAGCAGCATTTTACTGTTGTAAATGGATGAGGTGTCTAATAGGATGCATGAATTGTTTTCTTAATAATTCGATTGATTGTTTGGTTTGTAAAAATTCAGAAAATAGTCAGAAATGTGACATCTTTACAATTTCTTGTTTTTGTCCAATCAAACCTCATAATTATTTAAAAAAGCACACAGCAAACACTCCAAACAGACGTATCCTGTGTATATTTTGTGATAACAGCACATGACACCATTAAAGGTCACTGTTAGGTCACCGCAATGTCAATCTCCTCTGAGCACAGATCAGGTTATAATATAATATATCATCTTTTTATATTTATTTATTTTAAACATTGCACATTGCAAAGCCAATTTAAGCAAATGTAGCTTTATTTTCAAGGGACGAAACATAATTTGAGTCGAATGGACATCAAGATAATGAAGGTTATTTTTTGGTCTCTGTGGTAATCATCATACAACGATCATACAATCTGTGCAGGTCCTTTCTTTAGGCAGCAAATTCTGCCACTGTAATGCTAATTTTACCGATTTAGCTTTCCCTCATTTGAGGAATTTCCAACCTGGAAACAAACAGGTCACCATAAACTGTCAAAGACAAGAGAAAAAGAAGTGTTTTAAAAATCTTATCAGCGCTGCCAGTGTTAGTTCAACCTTTTAATTATCAATGTTTAATTTAGATACCATGTTCCGTTTGATATTCCACACCCTGTTATCATAACCTTGCCACATCAGGAGTACATACGGAACACATGCATGTGTGTTTACCGCAGTTATCACGAAGAACGCATATAGTACAATGTAAACACAGACCTACAGCTTTCCAGACTGTCCATACATATTCGTCAAGAACGTTTTCACAGGTGCTTTGTTGACAAAAATGCTATCTTCTGTTTTGTCGTCAGGATGCCCTTGAGTTAGTGTATTCATTAGTCACGTGTCCGACTGATCCTTCATGTATAAATCACACCTGTGACTCTCGGAGGCCGACAGTCCTGGACACATGACCACGACGATGTATACCTTGAGCTTCCTGTGTGCCTTGGGCCTCTTTGCTGCTCTTCAGGTGCCTGGCACCTTGGCGGAGGATGTGGAGCCCATGGCAGTAAGTGAAATGAAATGTTCACTCTAATTATATTACATATATGTGTGTGTGTGTGTTACTTGTGATGTCATCTTTAAAATCTAAACATACATTTTTTATTCTAATGTGCATTAAATCAACTATTATTTTCTCTCTCATCTCTGAAAACCACACTGTAACTGAAGGAGGGTGAGTGTTATTATTATTTATACATACTCTAATCTTATCTAAGATTTACAATATTCATACATATTCAAACTTTTTTTTTCTGGTTTTAATTGTGTTTGTTTAGGCACCGTCCTGGTCTCTTCCTCAGACAAGGTTGAGATTGTGAACAAGCATAATGCCCTGAGGAGAGGTGTTCAGCCTACTGCCAGCGACATGTTGGAAATGGTAACATTTCTCACTCCATCCAACCTATAAGGGCTTCATTTGATGCTCCCTCATACAGCATATCAGTAAAAAAGAAGTATATTTTTCTGGTGTATATACTGTAGAGGTCTGTATGTCCTAATGACTGATCTGTCCTCTGCTCCCTGCAGAAATGGAACGACGAGGCTGCAGCCAACGCTCAGAAATGGGCCAACACCTGCTCCATGAAGCACAGCCCTGCCAGCTCCAGAGAGATCAGAAGTAAGTTCATTATAACACTTCTTCTTTTTTTTATTGAGCCATACCTTGCAAAAAGTTAGCCCCACTAACTAACAAGCTACTACTGTGTAACCCAACTTTAACAAGCATTTTATAATGTGTAAAATCATCTGAAACAGTATTTTAGATCATCATGTGAGATTAAACTCTACACCAGACTAATACAATTATTGCCTTTGGATTGAATGCATATAATTATAGCTGTGGGCTTAATTAATTGTAATGTGGGTTAATAGTCTGTAATCCATTATATAAAAAAATCCATAATGACATAATGTGGATTATTATTTTGGAAAGTCAAAAAAAATGTTTTCTCAGCAATAGGAAGTGTTAGTTTTTTGTTTTTGTATTGTTTGTATTTTTGTAGGTGTTATTTTCTGTAATTATGCTAAATGATTTTGCATCGAAAAAGGTTTTATGTGGCACTGGTTGGGGAGGAGCCTCCATTATATCAGAGGTGGATAAAAAGAGTCTGATATTTTATAAAAAGTCAGTGTAGATTCAGTATGAAAGCCACTATGTTGGCTTTCAACCAAGGCTTGTAATATTTTAAAAACAGAGCAAATATTTTAACTTCAGATCAGATCTTACACGTGATTCATCATCAATACTTCAAAAATGATCTCATTCTAACAAAGTGCTACATGGACTGCACATAAAGTGGTTCAGGTATCAGCTCAAGTTCCTGGCTTTCATAAAGACAGCCTGCAGTGGAGATGATGAATTCCTTTCTTCCCGGGTTTTAAGAATACTGAATTATCTCTCTGTCCTCCTCTTCAACTGTAGCTAGCGGCTGTGGGGAGAACCTGTACATGTCCAGCTTCAAGAACACCTGGAGCAACGCCATCCAGTCCTGGTATGACGAGGTGAAGGACTGGCGCTACGGAGTGGGAGCCATCAACGGAGGAATGATCGGACACTTCACACAGGTGAACTTTAAACCACAGCTTGTACAGCACTTGTTAACTCTGACTAACTTAACATACAAAGGCCATCACTGAGTGAAAACTGTAATTAATGTAAAAGCGACCGTACATTAAAGCCATGAGCTCCTGATGATTTTGTATTTTATTTGTGGTTCTCTGCAGCTTGTTTGGTACAGGTCCAACTATCTTGGCTGCGCTATGGCCCACTGTCCCAACTCTTCATACAAGTACTTCTACGTCTGCCAATACTGTCCACCGTAAGTACAAGAACATTTACCCCTTTTTTTCAATGCAAAGTTTATCATGTTTTCTCACTTTTAGTGAACATTTACATTCATATTTGTGTTCATATTCACGTGTCCATTGAGTTAAATGCCAATATCAACCTCCATTATGTAATAATAAATATATTTGAGAGTTTATTAAAGAAAGTGATTGTAATACAAATAATGTAAAAAAAAAAAAAGCATATGGTTTACATCTTGAAAGATGAACCGAGTTGATGCAAATGCTCTTCAGTAAGGAGGAGAAACTACAATTTGCATCTAATGTGCCCTTCCTTGCCACGCTGAATATTCATTAAATAGTAATTCAAAAGTGATTTTCCCTTTTAGATCATATCCGTGACATGTATCCGCTGTGTGAGTCTTTATGCTGGTACATTTAATATTTGATGCTTTGGACTACATTACAGTGGAAACTACCAGTACGCTCGCCCCTACCAGCAGGGACCCACCTGCGGTGACTGCCCCAATGCCTGCAGCAATAAACTGTGCAGTAAGTAGCAAATATAGCACTGGGAGATTTATTCTGTGTTCCAATCCAGAAAGTTTTTCTTTTTTACCTTAAGTACAGACCACAGCTGCCCTTACAATGTGTGTATTACATGTAGTGTTTATACACAAGAAAGAAAAAGGAACAATCTTCATATCATTATCATTATCTTTGAATGAAAAGGGCTGATTGGACTTCATGACATGTACAGTCACTTTATTACACTATGTCTTGATCCTGCTCCCATTCTACAGAGCTCATCGCAACAGAAGTTTATCTTCACAAGTTAGTTTTTCAGAAAGAATCCAGTAATCCTAGACCCTAAAAATTTATGACAGTGGCCAAGTGATACTGGAATTGGTTAATCTTTACACACACTCTTTTTTTTTAAGATGTTCATTTTAGTTTGACATTATCAGGAGGACATTAAACTAAATACTACTAAATGATCACGGGTAACTCACTATCTAAGACTTATTTTCATTGTAGTCCTTAATATTAAGAGAATAAAGATGCAGGACTGGGTGACATCACATTACTAATGCAATAAATGATCATAAAATCACTCTAAGTCAAAGAGCAGAAAGTAAAACATGAAGATAATGAGAATATATACATATACATGAGAGTATATAATGGTGTAAGCAGTGCAGTAGCTAAAGTTAATACTACGAGTTAAACCTCAGTGAAAGGTGCAAGCAGAAAGACAACAACTTAAAGATATCACCTTACATGTGATTCAAATATCAACATACTTTTATATTCATTCATGGTACGGTGATGTCTCCGATCTATTGCAGGGCAGCTAAGTAGTTTGCTTAGTCAGCCGAGTTCCCTGTTTACCTCTATAGTCCATATAATCCATACAGCGTCTTCACAATCAGGCCTTGACAAAAAGCAAATAAGGTAACGTCATTGTCATGTTGTAGTCATTTTAGGTAAATACAAGATAAGCTTTGCAAATTTGATTAATTTTCACTATGTAAAGCTTGACTTTAAATGTTTAAAGGGGCCCCTCAGCCTCTCTGCAAATCCATCATGAGTCTACAGCAGCAAATCCATCAGAGCAGCTTCAATTATAAAGTTTCCTTCAGTAAAACATCTTCTGTCCCTGAACTCGTTACCTGATCACCTGAAATTTGCTACTAACTAAAGAGCTGTACTCATGTAATGTTGTGAAATGTAATGTCTTTAATTCTGTGTTTTATGTATTCTGTTTACCCTTGTTTTACCTTTCTGTTTTTACCTCTTATTTTCATAAAGCCCCTCCAGGGGTTGCTGTGAATTAGCATCCGCTACAAACACTAAGATGCTTTCATTGGATTATCACCAAATTTATATAAAATAAACAAATAAACCACCAAAAAAAAGTACTTTTTTAGTGATGGGGGACCATCCAGCTTCCTAATATTAGTTACTTCCAGTTTTACCCCTTGTCTATTTCCTGGATCTTAATGTAACAAACAAAACAGGAAAACTCGCTGAGATTCGACCCAACCAGTGAGATAATCTTGGAGAAGAAGTTGGAGGAGTTTGCAGGACTCCAGTCCATATTAGTGAGCTCTCTTGAGTGACATTTCTTTCTTTTTTTTCATTAATTCATCCTTTTCTCTGTTTCCTCCAGCCAACCCATGTCCGTACGCTGATAAGTACAGCAACTGTCCTGATCTGAAGAAGCAGTGGAGCTGCAGTCACGGTGACGTGGCATCCTGGTGCCCCGCCTCCTGCAAGTGCACCAACCAGATCATTTAAATGTCCACACGGTCTCTGACTCATCAGTCAGTTTCAATAAACACACTCATCATTAAAGCTTGTGTCCCTCTGATTTAATACTCCAGGCTATTTGACCTGCTCAGTAATCACCAGATATTAAAAAGGAAATTTACTTTGGCCCAGCGCCTGTGTGGACAAACACTGCCTGCAGAGCCAGATGCCCTTTTGACTGTATATAAGGTGTAAACTCACAAAGAGGAAGGAGAACACACTTGACAGGGTGGATTTGGCGGGTGTGGGGAGGAAAAGATAAATCCACAGAGATTTCCCCAAAGCTGAGCCAAGAAACAGTTTGACACCACACCTGAACGCTGTGGTTGAAAATAAAGACTACTGATAATGTTTAATCCCTTTACAATCATGGATCCAGACTTTTTGCAATATTTTGTGTGTAGTTCTGGTAAAATATGAGACAGATTAATGTTCCAGTGAGAGCACCTTTTTTATTTTATGACACTGAAAACACTATCAGGTAGATTTTGGGAGGGCTTCCTGTGGAGTCGGGAAGCTGAAAAGGTAATTTCCCGTTAGATAAGATGGCAACCTGACTGTGAAATACATTACTTTACTTTAGTATTGAGCTACTGTATGTAACAAATGTACAGACATTATGCTTTGACTCCACTAAATTTCAGAAATATTGTACCTTTTACTCTGTAGTTACTAGTTTTATTTAGCATATTTTCAAATCAATTTAGTCTAAAATGGTAACTAGGAACAATGTTTTAATCTGTTTTCAACACAAATCAACTTTTTATGGAGCAATGGTACCTTTTTGTTCTTTCTTTTTTTAAACAGGTTTAAATATTTAGACTACAGGTTCAGGACTCAATTATTAACATAAATAATTTTTATACAATTGCATTTCTTTGCCGATTTAAACAGCCCAAAACTCGACTATAAAGCTATAAAATCAGCTACACCTTAACCAGCTACAACAGAAATGCTGCTCACACAAATTACAATTAACAATAATCCTATGATAGAAATCAAACACTATGATTGACATCACTTTTGTAAGTATATATTTCTGATAATACTTTTACTTGTAATGGAGCCCAAAATTACATAATACAATTAAGTATGTACTCGGAGCGTATCTTTTAAATTACTGAGTACAAATTAATAATAATACAGACTACTGCAGTGAAACTAGTTATTGCTTCATCCACCTGGACCTTAAAGTTAAACATAATATTGGTATATTTCATTTTGTGATATTGTATCAAATACCAGCAAAAACAGTTAAATCGATGTTTATGGTTAAACCCCCAACTGCTACATAGCATTGTTGTAAATGTAAACTGAGGGTTATGATGTTGGATGTTACAGGGACTGAAAACTTTTTAGCTCCGATTTTATTCATACACTGTTGTGTTCTTTATACTAAGACAGTTTTCCTTTCCAGTTTTTTCTCATTAAATCACAAAATGTTGCAATGTATTGAATCGTAACCCCTGTATCGTGATACACACAGCCCTAACCTTTAATTGAATGTACTTTGTTATTGTAGCTGGGCTTTGGACCTCCAGAAATAGATGTTTGACGTCGTCATTATCGGTGGCAGAATCAGCCCTCCCTGAAAAGTAGGATGTCCTTTGTCATGTCAGGCTGTAACACTCCTTTCAAACTGCATGCTTTTACTTTGCGTTTGAAAAAGAAGATGCTCCTACTTACCCACATCTGAGGCTGAGAGAGAGTGACTCTCCTCAGGGGTCAGCCGCACATGTTCTGGCTGCACAGCAGGCTCCTGGTTCAAATGGGGCTGTGTTTGTATGAGTTAGGCTCATGCAGTCTACACTTGAGACGCACAGATGGATCTACAGGCTCAACTCGTTGGAATTTATCCAGACTGTATGTGCTTAGGGTTTTTTTTTCTTCCTGTTACGAGTCTGTTGTGAGTTTCCAGTCTGCACTTACAGAAGAGGTTGTTTTCATTTTCACTCATAAAATAATCTGCTCTAACTTCAACATTAGATTTCCTATTGCCACGCTGTCACACGCTCTGCTATTGTGTGGAAATTAGCTCTCATTGATGTGATAACAAACTTCTTTCATTGAAAATAAACACTCGGGCTGAATTTGTGTAATCTTGTCCGCATGCCAAAACAGCCTTGCTCTTAATACTGCAGCATGTGAGAGTCAAATAAAAAGTCTGGGCCTCATGTTTCTGCTCTGTCACTGCAATCCCCCTGAGGTTAACTGAGGATGCAGATGAGAGCACTACCTGAAGTGAGCAGACAGATGAGCTGGAGGGAGTGTTATTCCCCAGCAGAGGGGAGATAAGGGGATGAGTCTTTCCTCTGTCAGTTGGTCCAGCGATAGCAAAGGTCCTCTGCCTTGGCCGACCTCGATAAGACTGGCTGTGCCATCCTGTGGGGCTTATCAACTCCACCAGCGATCCTCAACAGTTAGTCCCGGGGCCAGAAAATGTTTATGACTTTGGCGTCAGTTTGTCTTCCTGAACAGCAGATTGTGTAATATATAACACAGCGTACTACAGCTCCACCAGACAGTGACAGAGAAAGTAATCAAATGAAGGGGATACATTTCCCCTGCTATTTCTTTTAATGAAATCGTGTTAGCAAAGAAAAGTGTGGGAAAAAAAGAAAAGAAAGAAAGAAGAGAAAGAGGGAAAGTTGGCAAAAACACACAGTGACATTTTCATAGGCAGGAAGACGCAGGGAGATCAGTTACATCAGTCTGTCCAGTCTGAACAGCTCATTTAGTCTGAGCTCTTATCGTGCCACATCGCGGTCCCTTCGGATAAGAAACCGGATTCTGAAAAAAAAAAACAGCTCACTCCATTTGAATCTGACTAAAGACCTCAAGGCTCAGTGGAGCAAACTGTATTTGATCTATCGTGTTCAACTGACTTTAAACCAAGATTAAATGCTCCATGACAGCTGAGTTGGTTTTAAACTAAAGAACTGGATGGGATCAGGTTTCACCCTGCAAGTGTTTCTGTATTGTTTAAACCATCAAGTGCTCATTGTTCATTCACATCTCCTACCTTGTATAAACACCTCTGACACAGATATTGACTGAAAGAACCAAAGTATCACTAGGTTTGGTTTGGAAAATTAGTGTTTAACTGAGCAGGTTTCATTAAAATAAAGCAAACAGCAGTTCAGGTGTGGTTGAAAGAGTTTTGTTCTTCTTCTGACACAAAAGGGAAAACCTCACTTCCTACTTAATATTTGATTGATTTAGTGGATTTACATGAAACATGGAGAAAATGTGGAGATATTTATCCAGACTCCACCACATCTTTGTTCTCTTTAAATAAAACAGAACAGCTCATTACAAGCAAGAATATGATCTGAGCCAACTAAAGGAAATTACAAAAAGCAGGAGGGTTTATGGGGGGAGTCAACCTGCTCAAAAAGCCTTTGAGACAAAAGTTACTATACTCTCAAGTTCTTCCTCTTACCTTATCATTTTAATTAAAAATCTAATTTTAAGATTATGTAATGTAACATAAAATATAAGCTTCTCTTTATTTTAAAATTCTTTACCTTGGTCTTTATTTATTTATAAAATTTTGGGTTGCCAGGTTATCCAGCCAGTCCGGGATTGAACTGACAACCTCCTGGTCACAAGCACACTTCTCAAACATTTAGGTCACCTTATTTTATTGTATTTGTTGCTCAGTCTTAAACACTTTATTTTGAAAAGTCTTAAAGAAAGATATCATAATAGTAGTGGGATACCTGTGTAACACTAGAGTCGTATTCATATTAAGTGCTTGTAGTATTAGTACCGTCAACTCTTCCATTGTGGTTCAGACTGAAAGAAAATGATTGTTGGGGTCATTCAGGCCTCACATAGCTCAGATCCAGGGCTGTGATCATGGCTATTGGAAGGAACATTTGAGTCACGCATCTGTGAAATTTATTGCAAATTTTGCAACTAATTCCTGGATGATAGGTTTGTGTTAACAATATTTTATTTGCCAGTATAAGTGCTTTGGATCAGTGCCTCATACAGCCGCCCCACCTGTGCGAAGCGAGCTCCTGTCCACTGGGTGCTATACAGGAACATTCAGACGCCCCTCTAATGAAAGCAGAGCGCTGTAGTTGTGCAGCTTCCTTCCTCTCATTGAGGGCTTTTGAGATGCGGCACAACAAAACTTGCCAACGGGCTCCTCAGTTCGCCTCTTAAGCTTTCATCACAAACACAAGAACATTGCATGAACAAACTCAAACTCAAAGCCCAGCTGACAACAGATCTCCTCCATCACATCCAAACACTGACAGATCACTTTCATCGATAAAGGCCTGAAGAAAGGAGGCTTTTAGTCATGGCAAACACTATATTTCTAATCTGTGTGTGATAGCTGGCTCTGTAGTATCCACATACTTCCCTATATTGTCCTGGAAATCTCATAACCTTTGCGCTGGGAACACAGCATGGGGCTTTTGTGTGCCCTATTCTTCCTCTAGTGCCTTTTAGTGTGAGTTTATTTTACGAGTGAGCGTGATAGCTACGAGTTCAACCGCTGGCCAAAGACTGAGCTCTCCCAGCAATAACCAGTTAAGTAAAACAGGCCTGGATCACGTCAGCCATTAGCAGACGGGTGTTGTTCTTTCTCCAAGACGCTGCCTGTTTGATAGCCGTTCTCACTCAATGGTCCTCCAGCAAATGTATATTAAACAAACACTAGGAGAGGGGTCCCAAGCCAGTAGTAGAGGAAATGGTTAAAGTGGGTGTAGGCGTATCCCAAACACAATGTATGGCTAAGCATTCATTCACAACCACAACTGTGAAAAACAATAAAATTAAGAGTGAGAATGGACTCAAGAGCTCAAGAAATAGTTCAATATGTGATTGTTTGGTGTAATGACACAAGCAATTACAAACACATGGTTTATTAATACTCTCATATTTTTAATCTAAAGTTGGAAGGAAACTGAACACAGTGGGGTTTTTTTTATGTTTTTACACTTCCTGATAAGTTGCATTTACAAAGGTTGTAACTAATGGCTTCATCATATTTTTACTTTTAACTGTTTGTT